TACTTTAACTGGATTAAATAATTCCAAACCCCAAAACACGCTCTCAATGCAGTTGATGCGTTCACTATACGATTTGAAGCAATCCGAAAGAGTGTGGTATAACCGTCTGAGTAAGTATTTGACTAGTCAAGGATATGTGAACAACGAACTATGCTCTTGCGTGTTCATTAAGAAGTCACATTTCGATTTTACGATTGTTGCAATTTATGTTGACAACATTAACCTCATCGGACCTTCTGAAAAGCTCAAGAGAACTGTTGCGCACCTGAAGTTAGAATTTGAGATGAAAGATCTAGGAAATACTCAATAGTGTCTCAGTCTCAAGATAGAGCACCGTTCTGATGAAATCTTAGTACATCAATCGGGATGATGAAGTATTTGAGTACTCCTATGGTCATTCGATCGTCAAATGCAAAACGAGATCCCTTCCGTGAAAAAGGATGATGAAGAGATTTTGGAATCAGAAGTTCCTTTCTAAGTGCAATAGGCACTTTATTGTACTTAGCTTAATGCACTAGACCCAACATCTCCTTCACTGTTAATCTTTTGGCAAAATACAGTAATGCACCTACACGTAAACACTGGACTGGTGTTAAAGACATATTTTGTTACATTAAGGGTACTACGAATCTGGGCATGTTCTATTTATACGGATCCTCAAGTGATGCCGTACCTCCTCATTTGGAGTCGATTATCACCATGTTGGTTATCCCGACGCATGATACTTATCTGATCCGCACAAGGTGTACTCTCAAATGGGTTATGTCTTTACCGTTTAAGGCACTGCAATATCTTAGAGGTCAACTATACAGACCTTAGTTACCACTTCGTCTAACCATGCTGAAATTTTTGCCTTGCACTTATCTACTTGGGAATGCTTTTGGCTGAAAGCAGTTGTGGACCATATTCGAAACTCCTGCAATCTTTACCTCGTCGTTGACATCCCGACGCCGATCTATGAAGATAATGCAGCATCCATTGAACAACTCAAGAAAGGTTACATTAAATGAGACAACATTAAGCACATTGCGCTGAAGTTCTTATTCTCACATTAACAGCAAGAGCATCAGAAGATTGAAGTTACACAAATCCATTCACAAGACAATCTGGTCAATATCTTTCCAAATCACTACTAAAGGCGATGTTTCAGAAGTTTGTTCAAGGAATAGGTATGCATAAACTTTCTGAGTTGTAACATTGTTGGTTCTCTTTGGAATTATGTCGAACTCAAAGGGAATATCCTAGAGTATATTTGCTTGATCTTAATGTACTATTTTCCCTACGACTAGAAGCATTTTTCCCACTGGGTTTTTGCTACCTAACAAGGTTTTGACGAGACACCCACCTTGGGTTGATCATATCCCTAGTAACGTCCTATAGATGTTTCATTTGACTTTGCATTGCTCATGCATTTTTTTCTTAGACTATGGGTTTTGTTCCTACTTGGGTTTTACCATAGCCATAGGGTTTTTTGTGAGACTTAGTTCCATATGCAAGTTCCTACTTTACTTTGAGACTAGCTTGTTCCCAAAATAAGTGTCGACGAGTTGACTTCCTCAACTTTACATGATGCCGAATCTACTTGAGTATTTATACACTCAATGGAGAGTGATATAAACATTGTATTTAAGTGTGATTATGTAAATCTTATATTAGATTTGATACTAGTTATTCTTTTATATTAGGACTTGCATTCCTTGGATCATCTCTAACCCTTGGGGATAAACCTTCAAAATTTAAGCCATAAAATTTTAAGCCATAACCCAGAAACTGTTTTTCTCCTCCAACCCTTATGACTTAAAATTTTAGCTCGAGATTATTAAATAATGATTTTAGCCTAATTTGTTTTTAGTAACTTTTTTGAAAATAAAATTTATGTAGATTATCCTAATTTATTTTTATGAACATTTTAATCTAAAAATATTTAAATTCTAATAAGTAATTAAAAATCATACAAGTACATATACTCGGCAGTTTCTGACACGACACGAAAACGACACGAAAATAACGGGTTTTGGGTCAACACGATAACTTATCGGGTCATTATCGGGTGACCCGTTAAGAACCTGTTAATAATGGATTCTTAACGGGTATACACGTGGATAACCCGTTTCGACCCATTAAGAAAAAATTTATTTTGATAATTTTAAAGTTTAATTACTAAAATATTTATTATAAAATACAATAGCCATATTAATATATACAATATATTCTATATTAAATATATATAGTTTTGTATTATTATTCTATATAAGTTTAAAAAAAAAAGTTTTAGTTATTATTTATTTTTATTATGAGAGTTCCATATTATCATCATTAGGATAAATTTTACTTAACATGTTGTTGTCCAAAATTAAAATAAACTAATATAGTATTTGTATAGGTAAGAACTAAGAAGACATACATACAAGTATGGAAAAATGTGAAAGAATATAAACACTCGTGATTCATCATTATTCCTGCACGAGTAGATAATGGTTACACTTACATTATCGTTTAGATTTTTAAAATCCTCCAAACCTTTATGAATAATGTTTTTTATTTGATGGCAAAATTAGTAAAATTAATAATAATTATTGTAGAAGTGTAAAAAATGAAAAGAGAAAAAAATACAATCACTCATATTGACAAACTTTACAACTTTCATGAAGGGGTTAGCTTTGAAATCCAACACTATAATTCATAAACCTTAAATTTATATTTAACCGTCGATTGTTATTTACGCTTTATTCTTCTTACTGAATTTCTTTCTTAAAATTTTCCTTTTTGAAAACATGATCATCTGGCGGATGTAAGAAGATGAACGGTTTAGATCTTTGATATCACGTTTTGATATTTACGGTTAACTGAAATATGAGTCGATGTCATATAGTTTGTAGAAACTTTATAAACATCAAGCAATAATTTCACTAATCGTAAAACTCTGAATATAATATCAACAATCCAAACCGTTCGTCTTCCTGCATCCTCTAATAGATCAAGTTTTCAAAAAAAGAAAATCTGAAAAAAAACAAAATTTGATGAGAACAATGAAGCGTAAATGTAAACAACAATCGACGATTAAATTTTGATCTATGATTTATATGATTATAGTGGCGAATTTCGAAGTTAAGTTCTTCATGAAAGTTGTAAAGTTTGTCATTACGAGCGTTTATATATTTTTTTCTATATTTTTTTACACTTCTACATTAATTAAAAAACTATTAAAGACTTTAGGTAAGTGAAAATGCACTTAAAAGAAAAATGCGTTTTTATGTTTTGGATGTGACAATATGATATGTATATACTTATTTAGTATTATGTTTTTCATTTGATTATTTATTGGTTTAAAATATATTTTCCTTAACGGGTAACGGGTCAGGTCATATTACCTGTTGATATTATTAGGTCGATTTCGGGTCGGGTCAGTTTATTCATTTATTTTAACGGGTGTTACACGACACGACCCGTTAAGATATCGGGTATGACACGAAAACGACACGAACACGGAAAACACGATACGAATGCCAGGTCTATAGGTATTTATAAAGTTTAAATTAAATTTGATTCAAATAATTTTCTTATATTATTTTAGAAAGATTTAATTTTGGGCCATCAAATCTTTTTTTTTACTATTAAATTTGATCTCATTTGATCACAGCCATTAGATTATAAGTAAAAAACAAAACAAAAAAAGTTTAAAATATGACAGTTTGGTGGGTCCAAAATAATTTAAGACAGGCTTAAATCTTCTACACAACCCTACAAATACCTCCCTCCCTACTCTCTCTCTGTCAGATAAAATAAGCCACAACAAGGACCTGTTTATTTTTATTATAACTTTTTAACTAAAGGGCAATTTGTTTTCTATTTAAAAAAAATATTTAAATAATTAAAAAGACGCATATAAAATTACGAAAACCGACCCATTGCCAACATGATTAGTAGATTGTGTCCGTTCATCGTATATCGTGCGGTCAGTTTTTATCAGGTACTGTTTGTGATTAATTTTAAATAAAAATATTTAAAATAATTTATGATTACACGATGTACGATGAACGAACACGATTCACGAATTCTCATAATCCTCACAAAGAAGATCTGACGAGAATCCAGATTCGATCCATTGCGGCTAAGTAATGGGTTGGTGGGTGGTGGCCCCACTCATGCTTCTTCTAGTCAAGAAAGGAAAAAAATTAGGAAAACTAATGAAAAGGGCTTGAAAACTTTGAGTTTTAATGATAAGGACAAAATAAAGGGTAAAGTGAATAGTACCAGGATTGACTTTTTAGTGTAAAAATGTGGTTTTTCGTTAAAATGAACAGTACCGGATACTTTTCGTTAAAGTTCTCAAAAAAAATTCTATGTGACTAGAACACGCACCGTAGAATGACAGGTGATGTTCCACTAATAACCTATACCTATATTCTTGGCATAACACTACTCTTTTTACAATTAACAAAAAAGAAAAAAAAAACAATTAAAAGCAATGGCCGACTTCCAGACCTTGGCCGACTCCTTCCCGGATACTTGTACGGTCCACCCCCCACTCCCACCCATCCCTCCCTTCCCCATACATCTCTCTCCCTTTCTCTTTCGTTTTCAATATTTCTTCCTCTTTTTTGTGCTCCTCCTGAGAAGGACACAAAAAACGCTGGAAATTCATCAGATCATAAAATCGGAGGTCGAAGACGGCAAATCTGGGTCGATGGAGGTGGGTGATTTCTCATAAGGTAGAAGAGAACGAGAGAGAAGAGGATAAACAAAAAGAGGAAGAAAGGTGTCGCCGGTGGAATCACAGGGCTGCGATGTGGGTGAATGATTTCTGATAGGGTGGGCGGTCGGCATGGTAGAAGGAAGTCGAAGAGTTTTTTGACGTCTTTCTCTTTCAACTATTATGTTAGGGATATATTAGGAATTTTGTTGACCAATTTATTTAATGCCTACATAAATAACAAAACGTGGCAAATTTTTTATTTTCAACAATGATATTGACACATGGTAATATTTCATTGGTTGGGAACTCCACGTAGGTTGGGAACTCCACGTAGGCTAATGCGCCGGTTGGCTAGAAAAATTTCTCTCAAGAAAGAGAGAAGAAAAGCAAATTCCGGAGTCCACCTACACCTACTAAGCAGCTACCTAGCGACCAAGTCCCTCCAGTCCTGCCCAAGTCCTCCCTACTTTATTCTTATCCTTCTCCAATCCCACCGACTCTCTCTCTCTCCCCTCTAGCATCTTGTTCGTTTTCTGACTCTCTCGCTCCTCTCATTCACACCCAATTCCAATTATCCTTCTCCACACATGGAACCCGTGCCACAGCAACAGCAGCAATCAGCAGGAGGGCCCCGCTTCACTCTGCTGAAGCAGTCGTCGCTGGCGCCGGACCGGGACGACTCGGTGACGCCCGAGCCGGTTGACCCGCGGGTGCGGCTCATGTACATGGCCAACGAGGGCGACTTGGACGCCATTCGAGAGCTCATCGACTCCGGCACCAATGTCAATTTCACTGACATCGACGGCCGCACCGCCCTCCACGTCGCCGCTTGCCAGGGCCAAACCGACGTCGTCCAGCTCTTGCTCCAAAGAGGCGCCGTGGTCGACCCGCGTGACTGTTGGGGCAGCACGGTAAGCAATTTCACTGCAAATTTTGTCACTTTTCTACATTCGTCTGTATATATATCTGTATGTGTGTGTATGTATAGGTTGCTAACAGTGTAGTGACTCTGACTGATTTATTTGTTGAACAGCCTCTTGCAGATGCAATTTATTACAAAAACGATGATGTGATCAAACTTTTGGAGGATTACGGTGCTAAACCTCCGGTATTTACTGGAGTGTGCAAAGTTTGCTTCTTTTGTTTCTTTCTTTCTAAAAATTAAATATTTTGTGGTTTTTGCAAAAATTAGATGGCTCCAATGCATGTCCAGAACTCACGGGAAGTCCCCGAATACGAGATTAATCCTAATGAGCTTGATTTCTCCAATAGTGTCGAGATAACCAAGGTAAGTCTCATATGAAGAACATTGGCATTCGTTTTTGTTGTTTTTTGAGGTCTAATTCAAGTTCACTATGACACAATGAATGAGCTTGGGATAAATTATTCAGTTGAGTATGGATTGGTATTGATGGAGGAGTTAAGTAGGACGGTTTAATGGTGATATTGATCTTTGATTGCAAATGAAATGTATGTCAGGGAACCTATCGTATTGCATCGTGGCGTGGAATTCAAGTTGCAGTTAAAACGCTTGGGGAGAAAGTATTTGCTGATGAAGATAAAGTGTAAGTTTGTCTTTATGCATCAATTTTTGTGTGAACTCTTATCACTACTTGACTTTTGTTGTAATTGAGATAATGAATTAAAAGGTCTTGAATCTTTCTTTTTGGCTGGAGTTTTAATTGGCTCAATGGAATCTCAGAAATGCATTCAGGGATGAGCTTTCTCTACTTCAGAAGATACGGCATCCAAACGTTGTCCAATTTTTGGGTGCTGTAACACAAAGCAGTCCAATGATGATTGTCATAGAATATCTATCCAAGGTTAATTGAAACATGCGAATTGAATTTTGCTTTATATCTTTCTTTTAATATCATCATTCATTCCTACGTCTTCCACATTTCATTATTTTGCATCTGAGTATTTGATGTTGACTTGTTATAATTTGGATAAGTGATACTTTAGTACCAAGTGAAGGGCCAAGTGATGGGTTAGTATACAATTAGGTCCTTCAGCATTATGCCAAAAAGTGTGAGTTTTGGTAGCTGACTTAGAGTTTTAAATGCCTAAACTGTTGGATTGCATTGAAGTTACAAAAAGAGAAAGGGCATTAATGGACCATTGACACACTGTAGATTGTAGGACAAACAAAATGAGACAAATGTATTATCTGTTTGTTTAGGATCAGACAATATTTGTAAAAATGCAACATAATTGTTGATCTTCTTTTTCATCTGAGCTTCTATTTTTACTTTTGCAGGGAGATTTTCGTGCGTATCTTAAAAGGAAAGGTGCATTAAAACCACCATCAGCATTAAAGTTTTCACTCGACATTGCTAGGTCAGTCAAGTTGCTTGTACTCTGGATTTGTTTGCAAGTTTTCTTGGCGAACATCACAAATGCCATATCTTGACATGGGATCTAAATCATCTGATGTTTCCATGCTGTATCATCAATTTGGAGTTTGATTAGCTTTCTTATGGGGAACTTGAGGCATATTCTTTGAATGCCTTGAATAATTTACTGCAAATGTAATTTCCTACATTATTCTGAAATAGGTTATCTGACTTGAAACATATCATCCCAAGTTCCTGGATTTCCTTTGTTTTATGCGGGACAATTTTTTTTGGGAGTTGTCAGCAGTTGAAAAATCATAAGGTCAGCTGCTTAATTGGCATTACCTCTGAGGATTACAGTCCGTATGGACTCTTCCCATTGAAATTGCGAACTCTAGATCCATGTAGGGCTAGAGAATTTCTGGGGAGGGAATTCAAATATTGGTTATATCATTGACTGGGATTGAAAACCCAGTTGGGTTACTTTTGGTGTTACCATTTATTTACTGGGGTCATGCTTATCTTTGAGTGATCAATGTAAACAGTATTTAAATGAACTTTTGTGTTTTAGAATTCATAGTGCTGGGAGGTGGATGATTGCTACATGTTATAACCGATTATTCATTGCATGTGTTCTTTTATTTTAATGAGCACTGTACTGAATTACACTGCAGGGGGATGAATTACTTGCATGAGCATAAACCTGAAGCAATAATTCATCGAGACCTGGAGCCCTCGTATGCTCTCGCACTCTCTCTCTTTATATTTATTGTTGCTGTTATTTTTGCTAGTAGAGAAATAGATGTTTACCAACATAATTTATATCTAATCTGACTCATAAATAAGCGATCGGGGGTTTATTCCTCTTAGCCTGGCCTATAAAGCATCATACTTAAATGTAGCATGGATCATGCGCTATCAATAACTAAATGATTGAAACTTTTGATAGTTTCTTAATTGTTCGTGAGTAAGATAACAGAAACATATTGCGGGATGATTCGGGCCATCTGAAAGTTGCAGACTTTGGGGTGAGCAAGCTACTGAAAGTTGCAAATACAGTTAAAGAAGACAGACCTGTGACAAGTCAAGACACTTGTATGTTGCCTGCTTTTTAAAAAGTTTCATTCTTCATTTCTTTGATCAATGCTATTTTGTGCGTAAAACTACGTAGCCATCTGATCAATTTTGGCCTTTACTAAGAAATAAACCCAGCTAGGCTAGATGACATTTTTGCTAACTTGAGCTGAGAGAGTGGATACTGCTTTAGTTTACTGCATGTGTAGCTAACCCCAGTAAAATCCCCATTTACATTCTGGTGTTTCACTTAAATCTGTAGAAGCTGAGTCTTTGCCTTGAATGTTAGGCATAACAGGATTAAGGCTTAGGGTTCTGTAAACATGTAACTGTTTCAATTTAGATTATAGACTGTAGACTGTAGCTCCCATCATCATGTCTTCCTGTTGCTGATATGATAACATCTCTAATGTACAGGGAGATATGTGGCTCCAGAGGTTTACAGAAATGAAGAATATGATACTAAAGTGGATGTTTTTTCGTTTGCTTTGATCTTGCAAGAGGTACTCTTTCTCTCTCTGTCCCCCTCTCCCCAACCACCCCTCTCTCTCTCTCTCTCTCTCACACACACACACACACACCCACCCATTCACCCCCCATTGCTGAACAATATTGCAGTAACTACATATAGCTGTTATATGAAGGTTATTTCTCCATACATTATCTTCTTGCAATATGTTTGTAAATTCATCCTAATGTCCAGTTTTTTAACTTGTATTGTTGTATATGGGATGGACTTCTTTCATGTGTGGTATACCCTTACTGGAAATTTTCATGTTAATGAATATCCTGTATTAATCCAGAGTTGAATTGATTTGTATTAATGTTTTCCAGTTGAGAGGTGGTTTATTCTTGACGGTCTGAGAAAAAGTTTTAATGATTGAAAAAAATGTTATGTTATTTCCAGATGATTGAAGGTTGCATACCATTTTCTACAAAGCCAGAAACAGAAGTTCCTAAAGCATATGTTGCAAATGAGCGCCCACCATTTAGAGCGCCACCAAAGCATTATGCACACGGATTGAAGGAGTAAGTTGTTTCCATACATTTGGTCTTGTTCTGTATATATGAAGTGTCATTTTCCTTTATATATAGCCAATATTTTGTTTGTTATAATGATGTATTATGGTCCCAAAGAGTTACTGTGGTATTGGGGACGAGTTTTTTGACACTTCTTCTGGGCAGTTTTGGCTCCTTAATTCTTGAAACCAAAAAGCAATCCTGATAGGAAAAGCTGTGTACTTTTCTTCTCTCCTTTCCAAAAAATGGTTATATTGTGCATGTCCAAGTTTTAGAGAGAAAATGCCTTGTTACGATGCTCAAAATACAGACATATTCTCTTCTACAGGGTTAATTCCTTATTAAGAATGCTTACTTAAAGTTTTTGTACAATGTGTACAGGTTAATCGAGGAGTGTTGGAGTGAGGACCCATTCAAGAGACCATCATTCAAGCAAATAATTAAGAGGTTGGATGACATTAATAACCAGTTTGCTCAAAAAAGATGCTGGAAGGTTCAAATCTCTCTCTGCTTTAATAACTCGTTTTTCTGATTGCCTTTCCTACATCTTCTGGAATTATTTCTGGTTGGTACACAGAGGAGAATGTGGAGTTTTTTTTTTCTTTTTAAAGTGACCGGTATTCAAGAGGGTACTCCACGTGTCATAGAATAAGTGGAGTGATACGGAAAAATATATTATTTGCTCCACTTGAGTTATGACATGTAGAGTAGGTACCTGGAAAAATCTCTCAACACACTGGAAAAAATTTTCTCGTGTATATATTGAGTCAAGTGCAAGTCAATTTGCTTAAATACACTTACGTAATATTGTGTATTTTGCACAGGTCACGCCACTTACATGTCTCCAGAATCTCGAGTCCATGGTGAAGAAAGATCGGACGAGTCCAAGCAGCCGTTCATCTTCCTGCTCTACAATGAGATGAGCTACTACAGCCGTATTTCGTGTAGGCATTAAGCTCTTTTTTGCCCCAAACAGTTCAAACTTTTTTCGACAGAGTAGTTGTGAGATAGTTTACCTTTCATAGGATTTCAGTTTCTTAGGCGGACCAAGAGACGCTGTTACACTTCCCTATTCTTGCTTAAAACATTTGTAGATTTTCTCCGAACCGGAACATTTCTTTCTTTTTTTCCTTGTTATAAACAATCATAATGAAATCTCCATATTTTGTTTGCTCTTTGGATTTTTTTCCAGTTTTATGTTTTATTCTTCTGATGAGACTCGACTTGCGAAGTCTTCAGACACATCGTCGGCAGACGGGTTATATTTACGCATGTCCATGTGCTTGCTTATGGTTTGGAGCCCTGACTTGAACGCTGAAACCTGTGATTTAAACAACTTCAATGCCCAACGCCGTTGGTCTAGAAATCCAGAGACATTTGGGAGGAGACCTGCAGCTGTAACTTCTGCAAGCTAACCAAGCCAACCAAACTGAAAATTTCGGAAAGGACCTAAATTGTGCGCAACTTCTTTGGCACGTGGTGGCCAACCATACAAATCCACGTGAATGTTTCTCCATATTGGCGTTGTTTGATTGGCATGAGACGCACTAATAGCAGTGTACTCGTTCCATGAAAGTTTCTCCAGGCCAAAAGCTGGGCAAAGCCCTTAGGAGACAGACCTCATCATGCGTCTACTCAAAAGGGTTGACATAGCACTAAAGAAACGCAACTGGGGAAGGGGAATAGGAACACAAACTTGCCTGGCGTTCAAGGTAAAAACTCTTAACCATTTGAGATATAAGCTCCTTGCCACAGCTGCGCAAAATACGAACAAACACATAAGCATCTACTATCACATTGAAGGCACTCCCACGAGCACAAGAACTCTCATAGTCGCATTGAGTGAAATTGTAGAAAGCTGTCACAGCAACAGGCGCATGAGGTTGGATCTCTGTTAAAATTGACAAACCAACAAAACAAAGTGAAGAAGACGATAATATTTGTAAAAATTTGAGTTTTCCTTGATCAGATGCTAACTTTAGAACACCTCTCTAAGATTAAGTAGTAACTTTCTCTCTCACTGCAAATTGTCTCAGTTGTTTTCCAGGTATTTTCTTCCTACAGTTGTTCCAATGTGTATCCGCTGCCATCGTTTCCTTTTCTGCCGATATCATTGGTACAGTATTTTTTCTGGATATCATTATCATTGTCAACCTCCTCATCTTTGTTTCCCCATCCACCACTATCATTGCTACGATACTTTTTCTGGGTGACATTATCCTCAACCTCCTTTTTGTGGTCGCCAGAAAACCTTTTATAAAACTGCTTAACCTTAGGGGCACCTTAATCTTGCTAGGATGAAAACCGGATATATACAGGCCTTCCAAGCTTTTCACACGGGAAAGAGTTACATAAACCATTCCATATTCGAAAGATTTTGAGAGATTGGTGTAAAGACAGTCCAGAGTCATGCCCTGGCACTTGTGAATGCTTGAAGCCCAAGCCAGTCTGAGAGGTAGCTGCTCTCTTTGAGCAACTACTGAATCTCCCTCTGTCACATCCCATGTTTTTGGTTTTATCACCTTTATTATCCCCGAATCAAATTTAACTATTGGTAGCAGCCCACCATCACATATGCTCGTCAATCCCACATCTTTGGTCTTACGAAATGCCATAACAGTACCAGTAGCACCATTTACCAGGCCACTCCGAGTATTCAAATTTTTTAGCAGCATCACCCTTGCATCTTTACATAAGCCAATTTCTTTAGGCGCAATCACCTGTTCAAGCTGTCTCTTCCAAGGATCGTGACCACTATCAACTGAAGTATAAACAACAAGTTCATTACCCAAGCTCTCCAATCTACTTGCATTCACTCTATTTACGTCTTGAATCCTTGGATAGAATTGTACTGCAGAAGGATCTGGCACAGAATCTGCGCAAGAATTTTCTAAAAACTTCAAGTCTTCAGGATCAATCTCCCCTGTTCTAATACCCTGAAGTATCTTGATCAGTCGAGGGTCTGACTGCCGAAAAACCTTTGTAAGATTAACTTGTAAATCAAAGCTAGATTCCCAACAGTCTGCTTCAAATGCAAATTCCTTACTCTCTGAATTCCACTCAGTTTTTACGGGTGGTAACTGAAAGAAATCCCCACCCACAACAAGCTGCATTCCACCCCAAATTTCATCAACTTGTCGTATGTATTTTGCAATGTATTCAAGACTATCAAGCAACTCCCCGTCAACCATGCTAATCTCATCTATGACCAACGCCTCAGCTTTCGACCACTTCCTACAAGCCTCCTTATTCGAGAGAACCCTACTCAGCAAAGTATCCCTATCATCATTGCCACAACCAATACCAGCGAAAGAGTGAAGGGTCTGCCCACTGATAGCACAAGCCGCAACACCAGTAGGTGCCGTGACAAAAACCTTTGAAGGTGTGTGACATCTTTTCAATAGTTTTATGATGTGCTTAACCAACATTGTTTTCCCGGTCCCCGCGGAACCGGTAATGAACACAGATTTCCCCTCAGAAATGGCAGATATGATTTGTTTCTGCTGTTCAGTCCACTTAACTCTGGGGTTTTTGGGTTTGGGTCTGAATTTGTATTTATCTTGAACACAATCTATGCTTTTTCCACTAGTTTTGGTGCTAAAATTTCTCTGTGCAGAAAATGCATAGGCAAAAAACTTCACACTCAGCATTTTTTCCACTCAAACTCCTTTCTGGGTCCTCAGGTCTTTTGTCTAAAAACGCTTCTTTTTCCTCAAATAATCACATTTAGCAACACTAACAGATGCAACAGTTGATTTGAAAAGCAAGAAAAGATTGGAGCTTTACCTTTCACATCGTGCTCTGGAAATGGACGGGGAGAAATTTTAGGACTTTCCGGGCAAACCCACAAGTGATCATCTCCATTCTCCAACATTTATCTCTGACAGAGAAGCGTTTAAATACTAAAGGACCGAAAGGGTTTCTCTGATTCTTGCAAATGCTGTAACGCTCCTGGTTGAGGGTGACGGATGGCGGAGATTGGGCTTGTGCCTTTCGTTTTAGGTCTTTTAGGCTTCATGAGCAGCCTACGTTGACTTGGGCTTCACGAGCAACCTTGGGTTAGATTTCTTATTTTCTCCACTCTATTTTTCTTCTCACGCGCTTTTGTTTTTGTGTTTTTTTTAGCCTTTGAACTGAATAAATGGAAAGAGAGTTAAGAGACAAAAATAAAAGAAGTGCAGAGAAAAAAGACGGGAGTGATAATTAGTACTCAAAATAAATTGCACAAAAAATAGGCTCTTGAATTGAAATTGTAAACACAAAAATCACGTAGCAAATAACAAGAGACCTCGTATGTATTGAAATCCAATTAAACTGAGAGTGAAGATGTTTAAAGCTCAAGTGGTTTTGAATATTTATCCTCGCACTCTAGGTCCTAAGTTCTATTTCTCTACCCATGCAATCACTTGTCTATACTACTTATTAATAGAATACTATTTGTCTGCCAAAAACTCATAAAAACAACACTATTATACCTTTCTCTGCATAATTAAAAATATATATATCAAAAAAGAAAAATTATAGACGTTAATGCAAACATAACTATTATGATATGTTTTTACCATTATCTGTGAAGACACTGTATTATATTTCAAATAATTCCTTCTGTTATTTGTTAGGAAAAATGAGAAACAAAATACAAATGAAAAAGAAAGAAAGAATGTGATTACTATATGGTTCATATCTCCAAAAAATACCTGATAATTTACAACATAAATATGCTACATAGAAATAATCAATTGAAAGTGTTGGGAAGAATTAAATCTCAGCTTTTGATATCATGCTAATTGTGATTAATTACCTATAAAGGAGATTTTAAATCTATATATAGTGGATAACTTGATATTAGGATCTGGTTCCTCCAAATTACAAACCCTAGATAGTAGATAGCCAAAGCGAGGTACGGAAAGCAAACATTAAGCATGCATACAGCGGACCTGTAAGTGGAATATATCTAAACTACCTATAAATAAAAAATTTGTTGTCAACTAAAAGAGGGTGAAAAGACTATTTAGTCTTCAATCACAAAAAAAAAAAAAAAAAAAAAGAATTATGGGTAATAATTTAATTTCACAAAACCAAATTTTGTTGTTTTTTATTTAAGTCTTTCCTACATGTAATTTTACTATTATCTAATATTAAAAAAAAAAGACAAAAACCTCTCTCCCCACTCCACTCCCACGTTCTCTCTCTCTCTCTCCCTATCTATCCTCCCCGTTTTAAAAACAAACAAAAAAAAATATTCACACACACAAAGTATGTAGACATATGCTAGTATGATATGTTGTAACATATAAAATATTATAATATCGAGAAGCCGTTTAGCACTTACAGACAAGTTATTATATGTAGTAAATAACGAGTCACTACCTATTAACAATACTATTTTTACCAACTGAAAGAGTAAAATTAAAGAAAAATAATCAAAATAAAAGTTATGGACAATATAGTAAACTGAACACAAAATATTATTTTTTTTCAAACCCTCACAAACAGGTAGCCATATCATTTGCGCCCTTTTTTTCCACATTTCTTTCCCAAATAAAATACAATTTTAGTGGTGAAATAGATATCCAAAAACAGTCACTAAATATATGAACAACCTTTTTCAGCTACAAAAAATCGTTTCAAGGTCGTCACAAAAAGCTTTAGTGACCATTTTATATGTTTCTCTCTTTGTAATTTTTATTTTAAAAATTTTAATAAGCATATAATAGCATGTGTGCAATTGCTGGTATGCTATATATAAAGGGAGAAGGCAAAAAAATGAAACTTTTATAATCTCAAATTACCCTTCTAACATTAGAATTTCAAAAGAAAAAATAATTCACAAAAATAAAAAAAATATCAAAGTAGTGAGACTGTGTGTGGTTAGAAAGTTTATTATTTTTTCAAGTATATTATTTATTGTTTTGCTTTTTGCTTTTTGCTTTTTTACTTTTTTACTTTTTTAAACATAAAAAGTAAATAAAAAGGAGTTAATTGTTAGCAAGAGGTTAGTACATATATGTGAGAGAGAGAGAGAGAGAGAGAGAGAGTGTGTGTGTGTGTGCAATTGCTGGTATTCTATATATAAAGGGAGAAGGCAAAAAAATGAAACTTTTATAATCTCAAAATTGGCCTTCTAACATTAGAATTTCAAAAGAAAAAATAAATTCACAAAAAAAAAAA